AGATAATTCTATGTTTTATACTACAGGAGATGTTTTTTCCAAAAGACTGCCATAGCACTTGGCTGGGTGTGGCAGCAGTCACCATGGCAGGGACTGGTCTGTGTATATAGACACAGTTTTAAAGTCCTGCTTGGCAGAATATCAACTGAGAGGTAGAACTGATAGCAGCAGCAGCTGTGTGTTAGCAGACTCAGGATGTTTGGGAGGAATTCAGGATGAGGTCAGTGCTACAGTGTGCATCTCCAAACGTAGGCACACTTGCAGAAGAAACATTGAATGGAAGATTTGGAAAGGACCTTATAGGCCCATCTAGGCCAATCTGTACCTCACTAAGAATTCCTCCTACAAGGTCTGGAAACCTGAGACTAAACCATCAAGCTCAAGATTAGAACTGAACTCTAGTTTGTACTTAGCCCATGCAACCTCACTTTCAAAGATGTAAAGACATGCTGTACTGTAATTATCAAAGGATGTCTGAGGCAAACCTTAAAGCTCATGCTTTGCCTGTGTAGAAACCAAGGTAAAGAATAAATGCATAATTTGTCCAAGGAGTGGGTCTAGAAATAAAAGGAAACTTTCTTTGAATGTAGCTCTATTCCCCTAATTGCTAAAACATATACCCCTTGCTTCTGTGCATGGATTTGAATAACTGTGTGTCCACACATTGTTTGTGAAACTAAACAAGTGTCAAATTAAGTTGACAAGTATTTATTGAGTGCTGACTGTGTGCCTGCCTGGGGGAGGTATGGTAAGGGTTTTTTAAGGGTACCTAATCAGCTGTTTCCAGAAGGCTTGAATAATGCTGACCTTTTACCATGGGCATTGCCTTCAAAATGGGAAACTAAATATAATCATTGGGTTACATACACTTTGTGGCTTTTCTGATGCAAATTATAAATTTAAGGTTGGCCTGACCCCAATTATCCAGTGCAGTTCTGGGTCATCCCCTTCCCTCCCACTGCCACACAGGAATGAAAACTCATATTACATTTTAAAATAATCAAAATGTAATTATGAGATTACAGATTTAGAGATTATGTAGTTCAATATAGACGAGGAAATTAAGGTCCAGAAAATTAACTTGTTATCATAGATCACATGATTCGTGGTTGAGGCAGGATTTAAACCCAGGTGTTCTGATTCAGAATCTGGAGCTCTTTATCTTCTATTATGTAGCCTCCTATTTAGAAGGTAAATCTACTGGAAAAAAGGAGACTGCTTGTATAATGCATTTTAATTCAAATATTAGTAGAATGTCCTGGTATTCCATTGTGACATTGTGACATTGAGACTGAGTTCTCAAAGGGTATGTCAAATCAATATAAGCTCTTGCTGATCAGAGAACGTCAGACTTGGAATGGGCCTCAGAGTCCATCTAATACAACCCATACCAGATGAATAAACCCAAAGCATCATTGACAGCGGGTGACCTAATCTCTGCTCAAGTACAGCCAACCGTTGATCTTAGTTCTTGAGTCTGCAGCAATTGAGAATAAGTCTGGTCTCATGCAAATAAAAACAACTTTAATATCTTCAGGCAGTCCATTCTACTTTTGAATAGTCTGATCCCTCTTCAATGTGATAACCCTTCAGATAGTTGAGACAGTTGCCATGTCCTCCTTAAGTCATCTCTTCTCCACGTTAAACATCCTAAGTTCCTTCAATAGATGGCATGACTGTCAATCCTTTCACCATTTTATTTACCCTCCTCTTGACAAATCCCAGTTTGTCAATGTTTTCCTGAAAACATGGCATCCAGAATTAAGGCTGGCATTGCCACAGATCTTCTGTGCCGTATGGAACAATCCTATTAAGCTCTCCATATTTTCACTTCTCTATCTATGAAATAGTTGAAAAAAATTATAAAACCACAGTGTGTTCCAAATGGATATGAGACATAAATGTAAAAGATTACACAATTAAAATTGGATTAAAATGCAAAAGAATTTCTTTCCCAACTATCACTAGAGAGAATGCTTAACCAAACAAGAGCTAGAACTCATAAAAGAGAAAACATACAATTTTATTATGTGAAATTGAAAGCTTTTGCACAAACAAAATTAGTACATCTAGGATAAGATGGGAAAATATCAATAGGGAAAACATTTTCATCAAATATCTCTGATAAAAATCAAATTCAAAGATATATAGGAAATGAACACAAATATATGATCAAGGATCGTGACAAATTATCAAAAGATATGAACAAACCATTCACATGACTGAAAAAAGATAATTGTAAATCATTAAACAATCATATAGATCATCCCAAATCACTAATAAGATAAATACAAATTTCTAAAAAATTCTGACATTTCACTTTATACCCAGTAAATTGGCAATATGAGAAAAAGAAATCATCAAATGTTGTAAGTGCCGTGAGAAAACAGGCACACTAACACATTGTTGGTGAAGCTGTAAATTGGTCTGACCTTTTTGGAAAATAATTTGGAATTATTTGAGGAAAACGATTAAGCTATTTATTCCCTTTGACCCAGAAATCCCACAGCTAGAGATGTACTTCCAAGGAAGTCAAAGACATAAACACTGAAATGTCAATATCAATATCTTTGTGTTAGTAAAGACCTGGAAATAAAAAAAAAAAATGTGTGTGCATTGATTGAAATGGCTTAACCAGCCATAGAATTTAGTTGTAATGTAAATTACAAGAAATGATAAATATGAAGAATTCAAGGAATAGTGGGAAGTCTTATATGAACTGATATAGAGTGAAGTAAACAGAACTATGGAAATAATATGTGTATATACATATATACCCTATCAAAAATGAGAAAAAAACCAAAAAAATGATGCTGAAGCCTATAATGATAATGACTAGTCTTGACCCTGGAAAAGGGATGTGGAAATGCTCTCCTTGACTTTCTTTGGAGAGGTAGGGGATTATATGCTATACTTTGTCAGAAATATTCTCCTCTAGCTGTAGTTGGGAAAGATTTTCTCTTTCATTTTATTCCAATTTTTATTTTTATTGTGTAGTTTTTTTACATTTAGGTCACATATCTATTTGGAACTTACTGTGATTTTGTAATTTTTTCAGTGGTATTATTTTATCAATAGTGCATTAAACAAAAAATATGTTTTGCTGAACTTTTTGTTACAAAAAAAGTCTGTGTGTGTATGTTTGTTTGTGTGTGTATGTGGGGTGGGGTAAAAGGATTTATCAGAGAAGATTGAGATATGGAAACAAAAGGCATTGATAACACTTTAAATAAGAATAACTATAAAGTTTTTTTTTTAGCATCTCAGCAGGTAATATGAGGAAATGGCCAGTAATCCATGTGAAGAATCTTAATGTAAAGGATCAATTTTCCAGAAAATCATGGTAATCCTTATATGGCAGAGAGCTACTCAAATATTTTGTTCTCCCTCCTACCCCCAATCCTCTCTCCCACTTCTTGACCATCTTCTTCACCCTCACATTTCCTTTGACCTATATAGGACCTAATTGAGAGAAAATGAAGTATGCCATTTGAAGTTAAAAAGCTATAATAGCTCTTTGTGTTCATCATATTTATGTGCTTCAAATGGAGTTTTAAAAAATCAGATTTCTTGTGGGTAATAGAGCATCTATATCTTAAGATAGTCTTACATAGGCACTCATTTGTTGACTGATTAATAAGGAAAAGTAAGCCAGTGAGATCAGCATGGTGTAATGGAAGTTGTACTAATTTGGTAGTCTGGAGGGCTTTAGTCTTAGCTATGCTTATTAGCTATCTGTCTGACATAAGTTGTCTCTCCTAGTGCACTGTCGTGAAACAGTCTCCTCATGTTACCTTCCCTTTGACAGTTATGCTCCGTCCAAAATAATTTGACCTGAGATTTCAAAGTTGGGTTTCTTAGGTTGTTAGATTCTTTAACACTCCTCTGAAGCTATACTCTGAACTTCTGGGAACTCTTGAAAGTATCTACAAATGGCAATGAAGGTGGATCCCATAGAAGTTCATCTCATGTGGTAGGTGAAAGATGAAATGACAGAGGAAACAAAGGTTCGATCTTCCAAGCATATCGATTTATTAAGCAATTCATAGCAATTGCCCAACAAACCAGGACTAGACCTCCTGAGCTTAGGCCTGGACCCTGAATACAGACTTTTATACATTAAAAGCAATTCATCAACTAAGGCCAATTCATTAAAAGGAAATAATACAATATTAGGTAATCTGATTTCTAATTGGATGAAAGATTAGGGACTTTTTAAGTTGAGAGGGGGAGAGCAGACAGGTACAATTCCCTGAAATCAGAAAAGGAGGTATCCTATTCCCCAAAGTGTCTATAAATAATCAAAGAAACATGGAAACAATAACTAATTGATCAGGATGGGGCCAGTTTTCAGAAAAGACATATGGGTTGTTTGAGATGTACAATTGTGAGAAAACTCCTTGCATCACTCTTTGGATCTGACTCTGGTCAGCATAACCTAGGTCCCTAGTTAAAAGTCCCTAAACAGGAGGTAGAGGTGGTCCAGTTTACCAGCCATGCAGGGCTAGGTTCAAACAATGCAATAAGGTCTTCTCCTAATTGCCAAAATTGAATAGTTTTCTTGAGTCACAATATGGAATCAGTGTGGTTCACTCAGTTCCCACAATTAACCACTTGCTAGCCTAATCCCCTTCATTCCCTCACTCATTAAAATACTACCCTTTTTCACTTCTTTTTTTTAAACCTAATAATATTCAAACACTCATTGATTAATGGAACTGAAAGGGATCTTATAGGATCATGCAACCAAGTCTTATTTTACAAGTGGGGAAACTAAACTCCAAGGAAGTATAAAGGAGTAGAATCATAATGACTTTTGATCTATGTATGTCCTTTGAGCTATGTAAAGCCTCCCATATTGGCCCATTAACTAGATCAGGCTTACATTTTATGGCTATAATGCACATTAATACCATTGCCTAGAGAATCACAGATGCATTTGAAAGTCCTCATTAAAGCAACACTAAAGTGTCACTCCTCATTTCCAGGAAGAAGCAAAAATGTCATCAATGGCAGTCCCCTTCTACCAGAAGAGACACAAACACTTTGACCAGTCATATCGCAATATTCAAACAAGGTATCTGCTGGAAGAATATGCAGCCAAAAAGTAAGTTGAAGTTCCCTGGAAGCCTCTCTAGAGTTTATCCCAACGTGCCCAAAATGCAATTATGGGAATTGGGGATGGAAAGGAGAGAGGGTGACAATAAAGTCACAGAGCAGAGGAAGAGGTAATTTTGCCAGATATGCTTCTCTTTCTGCTAGGAATCCTAAATTTTTTTTTTTGGCAGGGCATTGTGGAGAGAAGGCAGATAGCATGGCAGCAAAACCCTGTCTGGAAATCTACTGGTTAAGACTTTGATATAAGAATAGACAAATCAATAATCTATAGATAGATGGGACCTCAGAGGCCTTCTAGTCTAACCTAGTCGTTTTACAAATGAGACAACTGAGGCCTAGGCATGTCAAGTCACTTGCCTAAGGTCTCACACACAGATAGCATGTGAAAGAGAGTTGATCTCTGAAAGAGATAAGGTTCTGGGCTTCGGGTGACTTCCATACATAAGTATCAGAGGTGGGATTTGAACCAAAGTTCTCTGACTTTAGAATCATTAATGTTCCTACAAACAAGATATTATTGGTTATTATTAATAATAATATACATTTTAAAGTGCTATGTAAATGCTAGCTATTATTATTGCTATTATTAATAATTTAAAAATCATATTTTATATTTTATTGTGGGCATCTGAGTGGTGCAGCAGATAGAGTGCTGGGCCTGGAATCAGGAAGATTCATCTTCTTGAGTTCAAATCTGGCTTCAGACACTTACTAGCTATGTGAACCTAAGCAAGTCCCTTAATCCTGTTTGCTTCTGTTCCTCAGCTGTAAAATGAGCTGGAGAAGGAAATGACAAATCATTCCAGTATATCTGTCAAGAAAACTCCAAATGAGGTCACAAAGAGTTGGACATGAGTGAAATGACTGAACAACAACAACAGCATATTATTATTATATTATATTATTATTAACACTAACAATAAAAGCTACCATTTTTGTAGCACTTTAAAGTTTTTTAAAGCACTTTACAAATATTATCTCATTTTATCCTCATATTAACCAGTGAGGAAAATGCTACTATCATTCGCATTTTATAGACAAGAAAACAGGGAGATACAGGTTAAGTGACTTACCCAGGGTCACACAGTTTATAAGTGACGCTAGATTTGAACTTAGGTCTTCCTGACTTCAGCTACCTATTTCACTGATTGTTGTTCATTCATTTTAGTCCTGTCCAACTCTACATGACTCCTTTTGGGGATTTTCTTTGCAAAGATACTAGAGTGGTTTGCTATTTCCTTCTCTAGCTCATTTTACAGATGAGGAAACTGAAGCAAACAGGGTTAAGTGATTTGCTCAGGGCCACACAGCTAGTAATTGTCTGAGGCTGGTTTTGAGCTATGATCTTCTTGACTGCAGGCCTGGTGCTAACCACTGTGTCACCTAGCAGCTCATGTTCTACTGACTGGAGTTTGATAATTTAAGCCTTGGTTACCTGGACATTATAGGATGTGCCTATTGAATTTAATTGTTCTACCTTCTGCCCCCTGCCCCCACCATAATAGAATGGTAGAGTTTTGAATTTGGAAGGGACCTTAAATATAATCTATCATTTCACAGATATTTTTCAGTATTTCTTCTAAAATTCACAATAAAAATAGGAGTGAAATAGAGAGAACTATACTGAAAAAGGTAATTAATGAGATGTAGAACAGAAATGGAATGGAGTCCAACATAAAAATTGTTACAGAAAAATATTCGTTTTGCTGTGGCATGAGGTAGATTCCATTATTTCTTTATTCCTTTCCCAAAGTGTCATCTTCCCAATAATGTTCAATCCAGTCAATAGTATTCATGTTGTTATTGGTTAAGGGTTCCTTCCCCTACTAGACTGTACTTTTACTGGGATGGAAAGAAACATGACCCTAGATGGTGTTATTAGGTGTTCACTAACTAAATAACCCTGGTGTGTGATATTGTAATTCATAATTCCTGTAGTGATTTTAATTGACTTGAGGCAGGTTAGTGTAGTGAAAGACTTTTGCATTTGGCATCAGAAGATCAAGAGCTGAGTCCCAACTGTTCCACTTACGACCTGAGTAATCTTGGGCAAGTCACTTAACCACTCGTTTCCATCTTCCTTAGCTATGAAATGAAGGATTTGAACTATATGATTGTTAAGGTCCTTTCCAGGACCTTATGATCTTATTTGACAACCTACTACATGCTAAGCATTGCATTAAGAAATAGGATTACAAAGACTAAGGTGAAATTATTGTAACCCTCAAGGAGCTTACATTCAAAAGGGAGAGACAATATGTTCACATATAGACATGTGGAAGATACATACGAGATAGATACAAGTTAACTGTAGAGGGGTATCGCTAATGGTGAGGGCAGTCAGGAATGGTGGGCTTGAGCTGAGTCCTGAAGGAAACCAGGGATTAGAAGAAGGAGGGATGAGGAGGGAGAACATTCCAGGGATTGCCAGGGCAAACTCACAGAGGTGGGAAACGGATTATCATAAGTGATGAACAGCAAGGCCAATATAGCTGAATTGTAGGGTGAGTAGAGGGGTGTAATGTATCTCATTATCAGCTTACACTTATAACCCAAACACATATAAGACCAGTCATTACACTCTGAGATCCTTATTTTCTTGGGGAATACACACATATGCACGCATAATCCTGGAGTTTGGATCCCATGGATAGAATCCACAGGAAACCACATAAATTATACATAAGGCAAGAAAGGAATGTAATTTAAATTGATCTGAAGGCAGAAAAGCTTCACTAACTCCTTTACACAATACCAGTGAACCATTTCTGAACAAGTTCACTATGCTTGTGGCTTAAGAAAAGATATAACCATCACCAAGACTAATAATATTTCTACCTGCAATTGTAGGCAGCTGACATCAGGCCACTGGCTGTCATTGTCCTCATGTCTGCGCGTTCACTCCCTATGTCAACAGCTCTTAGACCATCATGGGAGTGTGTGGCCACTCTAATCCCCCATGGCCATGTTTACCCACATTCTTGACAGCTATAACTTATCAGGCTACTTGACAGAGATAATAGAATTGACACTACTCACATGTTGATGAAGGATGATGGGGCTTGTAGAGAAAGAAGCCCTTCAGCCGCTTTGGCTGAGTCCATATCTGCTAAAAAACACCCTATATTTAGAAAGATTTCATTGCAGGCATGTTTATATTGCTATTCCATGTAGGAAAACAAATCAGCAGATTCACATTCACTGCCAGTGACAATGGACAATTGCAAGGGCATCAAAAGATAACTCTGTACAGGCTTTAGGCTTAAAGCCTCAGTACGGCATGAACCGAGCATGGAGAGAATAGGGACTGATAGTGTAGATCAGGCCCCAAAGTCACAGGATCCAAGCTGGCAGGTCCCTCAGTGGTCATCTAGTCTGACCTGTACCTGATAAAGAATCTCCAGCACAACATCCCTTGTAAGTGTGGAAGTAAACTGAACCCCCAGTTTCCAGAAGCAGAAGCTGAGGTCCAGAGACTTGTCTGAAGAAACGAAGGGCTGGGATTTGAATCCCAGGTTTTCTGACTCTAATCCTAGTCATTTTTTCTCTCTACTACCACGGTAACCTTTCACCTTCGTGTTACTGGCTTCCAGTTAGGTCAGTCTTTCCCCCAAAGTCATCCTATAAGTTCCTAGGAGCCCAAGCTATAGGGTAAGAGTGTAGAGGCTCATGTCCCTATTACCCTCTTTTCCTGCTCTTCTCTTTTACAAGGTAAAGGACGTGTCTTCCTCCAGAACATGTCTTCCTCCAAACCACATTGCCTTATGGGATTTGGATTTCAAGGCTTTGTATTGGTGGCAGGGCTGGGGTGTCTTCCACAGGCCCTATTTCCTTTGTCTTTTGGTCCTGTAGCTTCCCTCACCCAACTCAGACCCAGTCTCTTTGCCCTCCAGGAGATGGAGGGGTGTGTGTGTGTGTGTGTGTGTGTGTGTATGTGTGTATGTGTGTGTATGGTTCCTTTCCACAGTCAGTCTAGAAACCGTCTACATTTTTTGACCCTACGGATCATAGCATCATAAATCTTAGATTTAGAATTGGTTGGGACTGCAGAATTAATATCATAATGTAGATGTGAAAGGGACAAACATGTAATCTAACTGCCCCATTTTGCAGATGAGAGAATTGAAGCTTAGACAAGTTAAATAACTTACCCAAGATCATACAACAAGTAGCAGGGCCAGGATTTGAATTCAGGTCCTCTGAATCCCAATCTGGTGTTCTTTCTAGTGTATCATGATGCCTCCATCCTGGGGTTTCTTCTCCCTAATTCCCAAACTCTATTTTGAGGTTCCTACAATTTCCTACTTAGGATAGGGCAGAGTGGGGAGACTCACAAATTTTAGCTCCCCTCTTGTCAGTCTTCTCAAATGCATGGGGGAACACAGAGCAGGTCCAGATAATGGAGTGAAGGCTCTAGTTCTTCATGTGGAGATTTTTTTTTTAGTAAGAGAGGGTGATTTTGTTTTTATAATTGCTTTGATCTATTATAATTTTTTTCCCTATTTTCCTTAAGGCGGGCTCAGTCTTCCTCCACCCAGAAGTCATCTTCCCAGAAAGCTTCTAGCAAGGCATCAATTGGAGGAACAACATGCAGGCTTTGTGAGAAAAGGATAAAGGCCTCCTCTGAAGAGGAAGAACGAGAAAGCAAAAGAAGGTAATATTTATCTATCTATATGTGTTTTCTCTCTCTCTCTCTCTCTCTCTCTCTGTCTGTCTTTCTCTTTCTCTCTGTGTCTCTCTCTCTGTCTCTTTCTCTTTCTGTCTCTGTCTCTGTCTCTGTTTCTCTCTCTCTTTCTCATTCTCACCTGCAGTAAAACAATGCTCTACAACAGTGTTTCCAAACATGGTTGAAATCTTAGAGACAGTGCAGTAAAGAACCTTAGTGATCCTTTAATTTATTCCAGCCCTCTTGGTTTGTAGATTAAGAAGAGAAAGGCAAATGAGTAAATCAATCACACAGCCACTTATTAGCAAAGCATTGATGAAACATTAATGTTTCCTAATTTCCAGTCCAATTCTTTTTCTAATCAATACCAGGCTATTTCTCTCAGATCAGATTATTCAAATGTTCATCAGAGAATTTTAAATGTAATCGAAGTTGTTAAGCATTTACAACATGTTCTTGAACCATAGGAGTCCATGGCTTTTCTAGTTCTAAAACAAAGCAACCCACCCCCTCCCTCACCAACAGAAAAAAGAATTAGGAAAATAGCTGAGGTGTGTAGTAAAGAGCAAGTGAAACCTTTGGAGAAAAATAGTCTGTCTTCTATTACCTGTCTACAGTTACTTCCATTCTTCCTTTTCAGAATATATTAGAGGCATAAAGAAATCAAGTAGAGTGGTGTGGACCAGAAAGACAAAGTAGAGTCACAGTTTTTGAGAATCCATTAATCCATTAAAGTATTTATTAAGTGCCTACTGTGTACCAGTCACTGCACCAGGTGCTTGGTATATAAAGAAAACAAGACTGTTAAGGAATTTACATTCTGTTGGGGAGAAAATATGTAAATTTATACAAAATCAATACAAGGCATTTTTTTTTTCCCTGAAGGGGCTGATGCTAGCAGTCAGGAGGATCAGGGAAGTTTTCATGTTGGAAGCGTAGCTTCAGAGAGAAGATTGAGTTCAGAACTTGGCTAGAACTTACATGTGACAGGATAGAACTGAAGAAAAGTCAAGGACTAGCAATCGGAAGAAGAGGGGGAAGTGAGATTTGTGCTATGAGTAGGTTGTGGGGAATTTTACAAGGTTTTAATTTTTGCTAATATATTAAATACTCTATTCTTTTACATATGATAGAGATTTCTTTACCTTCCTAATGAGTGAAGAAGCCTTATATGGAAGCAAGGTAGGTAGCTGTCCTTGTGGCATTATTTAAGAAGACTTCTTGCCTGAAATGCCACCTTTAGCAAACTATTCTAGGAGAATATGAGCTCTTTGAGGGCAGCAATTGTTTCATTTTTGTCTTCAGATGCCCAGTACCTAGCCTCATATAGCACATAGAAGGTCCTAAATAAATGATCTTTAAATCACATTGAGTTTTGAAGAAATCCCCTAACAAAGATGTAAATGCCCCTGAGACAAATAACAACTTGTTTATAGAATCACAGAAGGCTAGAGCTCTGAGGGTCCCTGGAGACTGAGCCCCACAATGTTTTGTCCAGCTCACCAAAATGAGAGGCAAAATCAGGAGTGGTCCAGTCCCAGTCTAAGATCTTTCCCTGTAGAGTAGGCTGCTTTCTACTTTACCTTAGTTCAACCCTCTAGTTTTATAGATGAGGAAATGTGCACAGAGAAGGCAAATGAATAACTCAATCACACAACTTGATTGTAGAAAAACACAGAGCACCTCAATATTTTCTGATTTTTAATCCAGTTCCTTTTTCAAGTCTATATCAAGCTGATTCCTTCAGACTAGATTATTCAAATGCATATCAGATAATTTGAAATATAATTGAAGGTATTAAGCAAAATTTTGTCTGGAATCATGTGCCACATACTGAGGAAGGACCTTATAGATTGTCTAGTTCAACCATCTTATTTTACAAGTGTCAAAACAGGGGGATTTGGAGCTTATATCTCTCTGTTCCTAGAACTTTTGCATACCCTTAACTCCAGTTCTCATTTTTATCAGGGCTTCATTTATCAAATCACTTTAGAGTCTTTATAGTTATCTAAAGGTCAGTCCCTAAAAGGATGGGACTCAAGAGAGGTGTTTTCCAGTGTTAGGGTATGAGGACACCAAGAGAGCCAGAGACAAATGAAGAGCAAGTTGGGAGGATTCCACAGATAAACTTCAACCACTTCACAGTTTTGTTATGGGCTGGCCCTGGAATTTATGGAACGTGTGATAGATGCTGACCAAGAAAAGCATTTCATCAGTATTGTTTACATGTTTTTTTAAGACTCATGACATAGTTTATCTTTAGCATTACAAGGTACATTTCAGGCAAAAAAACTGCTCTGATATTGCGGTTCATAGGATTTAGAGCCACAATGGACCATAATGATCATTTACTCCAAACTGTTCATTTTACAGAAGAGGCAGGGGAAATGAGATACCAAGTTAGGAGAAATGACTTTCTCAAGTAAGTAGAAAAGCTGGATATGGACCTCTGATGCCAGATATGGACCTCTTTCTACTACACTGTATTGAATCTTCATAGGATCATAGAGGTATATCTGGAAACCATAAAGATCATCTAGTGAAAACCTCTCATTTTTACAGATGAAGAAATGGAAACCCAGAGAACTAAGTAACTTATTCAAGGTCACCTAGGTAGTAAGTGGGCAGAGATGAGATTCAAACTCAGAGACTTTGACTTCAAATCCAGTGCTCTTTCCATGGTATTACACTGTATTGTCTGTATTCCTTCAAGGATTCTATTTGTTGAATCAATAAATAAATTTACCCTGAGACATAAATGACTATCTTCTTTCTCCCTGGATGATGTATGGCTTTGTTTTTTTTTTGTTTGTTTGTTTGTTTGTTTTTGATGAGGCAATCGGGGTTAAGTGACTTGCCCAGGGTCACATAGCTAGTGAGTATCATGTGTCTGAGGCTGGATTTGAACTCAGGCCCTCCTGACTCCAGGGCCAGTGCTTTATGCACTGCACCACTAGCCACCCGCGATGATGTACATTTTAAAAGGAATTAAAATTTAAAACCAAAGAATAAGTTTCTAATGGTAAAATTTCAGGGAAAGTGAATTGGGTTTGGTTGAGGTATTTTGAAAGATAGGAAGGCCTTCCTGAATCTCTGAAGCCTACTACCTCATGGGTGCTGGCTCTACAGTATTGTGCCATCCTTTCTGCTCAACCTTCTTTTTTCCCTACTGCACCAGTTGCTGCATGTGGTTTGCCAGGATTTTATATCATACCCTGCTTTATTATTTCTTTTACGATCTTGTTATGTTACATAATTGAGAAAATCCCATGAGAGAAATATAACTGAAAAATTCCCCTAGATGAAAATATTAACATGAAATAACTCCTTCTAAGCTCATATCCCTGGGCCCCTAAGGTGGACTTTTCCATTACGTAGGAAAGTCAGACACTGAGACGAGGCCTCCCACATAACTTTTGTGCACACAGAAATTTATAGGTACAAGATGGTAGAGATATCACTAGTTTTAAGTAGCTAAATGGCATAGTGGATAGAACACCGGGCTTGGAGTCAGGAAGACCTGAGTTCAAATCTGACCTCAGACACTTTACAAGCTGCATGACTCTGAGTAAGCCATTTAACCTCTGTTTTCTCTTCTGTAAGATGATAATAGCACCTACCTCCTAGGGTTGTTGTAAGGATCACGTGAGATAATTGTAAAGCACTTGGCACAGTGCCTGGTACATAGGTGCATAGTGAACACTATCTAAATGTTAGCTGTTATTATTATTATTATTAGATATCAAAGTCTTAGAAAAAAGACTGTAAGTACAATATGAAGCAACTGTGTGATTTGGTAGCCAAGTAAATCAATGCACTTTTAAAGTTAATTAAAAGTCCCTGGGGCTGGGACAGGGAGTGGATAGGAAAGCATGATATGTTTCTCCTGGCCTCCATCAGACTACACCTAGAATTTTTTTTATCCATTCTGGGCATCATATTTTAGAAAGCTGGAAGAACAAAGTGAAGAAATCAGGAAGCAACTGGGATGGTAAAGGACCTTGAGATCTTGCTATTCGAGGGCTAGTTGATGAAACCAGTGGTGCTTAGCGAAGAGAAGAGAAGAGGCTGTGGGAAAGGGGGAGGGGAAGGACATGATTGTTGTTTTCAAGCATTTGAAGGCATGTTACACAACAGAGAAATTAGAATTGTTCTTCTAAGCCTCAGTGGGCAGGACTTGAAACAATGCATGTCAGTTGCCAAAAAGCAAATTTAGGCCTGAAGTAAAGAGAAACTTAAAAAACATCATCGTCATCTTCATCATCATCACCATCAGCATGGACAACAAAGCTTCCCAATAGTTAGAGCTGCTCTAAAATGGACTAGGTACTAGGTTGCTTTGGGAGTTAGGGAGTTACCTGCCATTGGAAGTTTTTAAGCAAAGCCTGGATCCCTACTTGTTAGGTATGTTGAAAAGGGAATTCTTTATGAGTTGAATCAGATAGGTTTTGATATACCTTCCAGCTTTGAAATTCTGTGATTTGGAGATTCTGATCATGTGGTTGTTCAGTTGTTCAGTCATTTTTCAGTCACATCTGACTCTTTGTGACCCCCTTAGGGGTTTTCTTGGTGAAGATACTGGAGTGATTTTGAAGAGGTTTGGGATGCTGGGACCCTGAGAATGCCAAGGCAGAGTTGCCTGGAATGAATTCACACACTCAAGCCATCTTTCAGTCAAGAGGCAGTTAATTATAATGTCAATGGAAGTGGGCAAAGTCTCACAGCTGAAAAAAACATATGTACATTTGCATCACATTTTGAGCTATTTTCTCAAAGGATAATGGAAAAGATAGGAAAGACACCCCAAACACAGATTGTCTGACAGAATGACATTTCCATGGGCAAAGTTCTACACGTGTAAATTGAGGGTATATGGAAGGATTCTATAGACAAATCATGCTTCACATTTCAACAGAGTTAGCTCAAGAAGAGAAGGTGCGGTATGAACACAAAGGATTAGAGAAAATGTCAGTGCTCAAATTATCGTCAGGTCAAGACACAACAGCTGGTGATACTGATAACTGTTCAAGTCGCTATACCAAGGAGTTAAAGGTCTTACGTTATTTATCTCAGGCTACTCATTAAGTGTGGTGATATTTTATTTTTATTTTTTCTCTGTCAATTAAAAAAAGAATAAACCTGAAATGAAAAACATATCATTAGAGAGTGGCATCTTGTACTTTTATTTATACTATGAAGGGTGAATGTACTATAGGACAGGAGTACCTTGTTTAATTCAGATGTTTTGCCCTTGAATAGTTGTGTATTGGTTTAAGTTTTATAAATTGAATTGCATTTTGATTAGCTTATAGTAGCTTTGAAGGTTTCATTTTAGAAATTGAAGGATTCTTTTGCAAAGCAATTAATCACTCAACTAATTTGTCTGTTTTGTAAATATATCTTTAAAATATCAGGTTTGCTTCAAGTGATGTGCAACTTTTATATTCAACAGTTGATAGGACTGAGTAAGAGATCTGCATTTGAGTCTCATTTTTTTTATCAGTTACACACTGGTGTGACCTTGAACAAGTCACTTGACTTTTCTATGCTTTAATTTTCCCATCAAAAGATAGGGACAGTGATATAGTTAACCTGTAACAAAAGGAATGTGCAGATAATTATTATCTGGTTATCACAATTTTCTGTATAATTGAGGGTTAAATGGATTTCAGCCCTAGTTATTTTTCTTCCTCTGACATATACTGGCTATGGGACCTTGGGCAAGGTACTTAACCCCTTAGTGCTCCAGGCATCTCTATAAGACTCTAAATTACAATAGAGTTTGCAGCCTGTATCACTGGGGGAAGTTCCCACCAGGGGCATTCCCTTCACCAATTACATCACAGATCTAGATACTGTCACTCAGGTTATCACATCGTATCACTTAATAATTGCATAAAGTTTTTCATATGATTTGCTTATATTTGTACAAAGTAGAAAGAAAAAAAATCAGTTATTTGAGGGTTTTGAGTAGTGGACTTCTGAATGCATAGAGGTTTCACTCTAGTGCTGCTGACACCCCTTCATGGAACAGTATTGTATGTATGAAGGAGCAAGGACTTTTCCTAAATTTATTGGAGGTATAAGAAAAATTCAAACTCCTATCATAATGAGAATATTTCATTGCTTTATTTATTCTGTACTTCTCCTGATAGTTATTAGTCCAAGATGTGAGACAAATTACACCTATTTAAATGATGAAGAAGCTACAGATATGCACCAATTTAAGAGACTGTTTATTATTTGATGTATGGTAATACTACAGAGAAGGATGTGATCTGACAGATGTGACCATTTCTTTCTGGAAGATATAGAGGATTAAAAAAATATCCCTTAGATGCCTTTATTTCTATTTGGAAAAAATGTATTGAGGATAAATATGCAGGCCATTCCTGTGGGCTTCAAGAATAAACAGAAGAGGGGTAAAGCAATTCTGTATTGAGTAATCTTAGACTAAATTTCTGCATTTAGAATGAGTTTCTGAATGTGCTGGAAAAGAGTATTTCAAGGGAGAAGTTCCAAAATGAACATAGATTGAACATTGCAAGATGGAAATGTGTGGTGGTGCTATTGGCTTAGGAATAAACTCAAGACTTTGAAAAGTAAAATCCACATGATGGAGGAGAGTTTTTACTTAGTGCAGGTGAGGGCTTCTGATCCTTCTTAAAACAAATCATACTTGCTTCTGGGATGTATGAAGGCCAGCCTCTCCTAACAGTATATTTTAATAGCAGTCACTGCTACATTGCATTACAGCAAAGATCTCTTCTAGGTGACTAGTTGTTAATCTGATAAACTAAGACCTACTAATGTGTTAAAGGCTATTAATGTATGGCCTTCTTGGGCAGTGCATGTATACTTTAGAGGAGGCCTTTGGAGATAATACCTTCATGGAAAGAACAGATCACTAGTAAGAATTTAAGGGATAAAAAGCAGGACAGTGTGGGAGATATTCCTGAGTGGTGAACTCTTCGGGTACCCAAGATCATATTACATTATGTAGACAGCTGTCTTCTCCAGTTCACCATTCACCCACCCCCACCCTCCTACCCTCCAGTATGGGCTCAACTTGGCCTGGGAACCATACCAGTCACTAAGATGTATTTCTTGAGCTTCATAACTGAGCACTTAGTGTGACTATGGCTTTGGAGTACGCACCCCTGGATTTGACTTTAACTCCTGGGAAGATCTTTATCTTATACCTTAGTTAAAGCTGATGGATACTGATTTAATCTGGGGTTCCATGTCTTGGATACTTATTAGCTTTGCAACCACGGGCAAGTCAGTTAACGTCATTGGGCATGTTTCCTCATCTGTATAATCTGAGATGGTCAAAGCTAATGGTTTGTAGCTTTTATTATATGTACATGAGTCTGAAGTTTGGAAGGTGGATGTTATTGATAATTGGGTGCTATTCATTTACAGGCTGGACTGATAATTATTGATAACTCATCTGGCTGACGATGAGCATGGATTGCTTCCCCCTTCTTCTTTCCAATTATTAAAAATAAGAAAGTGCAAAGAGCAATCTAACAAGACAAAGCTCCTATTCTATAAAGGGACTTGGTATATTCAATCTGGGCAGCTTTGGAGCACTGCTGTCTGATGACAGACAGAGAGAGAGAAAGAGAGAGAGAGAGAGAGAGAGAGAGAGAGAGAGAGAGAGAGAGAGAGAGAGAGAGAGAGAGAGAGAGAGAGAGAGAGAGAGAGAAGGAGAGGGGGAGGGAGAGAGATCCAAATTTCTTCTACCGGTAGATTGGATCTGCTGAGCCTTAAGTTAGACTGGTTCAGACTTTGACTCTGTGCTTTTGACTTTTACACAAGGCAGATCTGTTTTTACCTCTGTTTCTATTCATTCAAAAGCCTCAGATTTAATCTAAAGTCTTAACAGAGACCACAATCTTCTGAAATGCCTGGCCAATCAGTGGATCATATATTTAGGGCTGGAAGGGAACTTAGATATCATCTTATTCAACCCCCTCATATGATGGATGAGGAAACTGAAACCAACAGAAGTTAAATGACTTGCCCAAGCTCACATAGGTAATGAACATCAGAGCTGAGATTTGAACCTTTGACCTTCTGTTTGATAAAACATCAATCTGTATATGATGATGGTGAGCTACAAAGCTTCTGTGCTCAAATTAGATCATGAAAAAGAAAAAAAGGAATACATCTGAATTTTAATGATATTCATTTATTAATATATCTATTATTAAAATGAAATAACAATATTATATTAAAATTAAATTATTAGCATGAAATCACTAAGAAAAAATAAAATTTCTCTGACATTAACTGTGCACATATCATAAATCTAGAGCTAGAATTTAGTCTAATATCCTCATTTTATATGTGAGGAAACTGGTCTAGGTAGGTTAAGTGATTTAGCTAAGATCATGTAGGGAGTAAGTGTCTGAGACAGGATTTGAAACCAGGGTAGTTGACTCCAAGGCCAATGTCCTTTCCACCATTTGCAATCGCGTAGGAGCAGCAACACACTCTATCCCTGCCTAATTAAATTGATGAAAATGCTTTTGGTTTTGCAGATCTCAATCACTGCTGTCTTCTTATGGAGAAGCAAAGAGGGAGCGTTTTCTTAATGAACTGAGTTTCATAGAAGAAGATGTGCGCCTGGCTCGGTCTCTTGCTAGAGAAAAATTGGACAAATATGCAATTCAAGAAATGGTAAAAATGCTTTAACTTTCCTTCTATAAGTTTAAATGAAATAGTCAATGAATAACATACCACTTGAATGGTTTGATCTTGAGAGTAAAATTTGGAGCAGTAACCATTTGCAGCTTTCTGCTGACTCATTTTTGTTTCTTGGGTAACAGGTGAACGATAAGATGGCCTGGGAGAGGCATGTATATGAGGAAAGCATAAGTCGAGCTCCTGAGATTCTGGTGCGGCTTAGGTCCCACACTGTCTGGGAAAAGATGAATGTGAAGCTTTGCTTCACTGTACAAGGATTTCCTACTCCCGTGGTACAATGGTCAGTATTTTTTTTTTTTTTTTTTACATTCCAATGGTGCAAAAATGGTGTTAATGGTTTTTCCTTAAGGGATTATATCTGTCTACTCAAAGGGTGATCAAACTGGAACTAAAGCATAAACTTGACTCCTAACCATTTTCCCATTCCCCTCTTGAAATGAAAATTCCCACCATAAAGAGTTTCATGCAACTCTGGACACAGTATATATTTCTCAAACCTCCCAATACACTAATTCTAAATAAGTGCTAACATTTTTATTCTAGTGCAACTCTATTAAATGATTCCCTGCGGGGTCATCTACTTAAGAGCAGGCTCTTATAAGTGACATGTATTTAAATGAGTGGACTTTCATCAGGCTGGCATTTATGTGGTGAATGATTCCATTATCCAAGTCTTTAGACACCATGGGATTAATTCTGTTAGGCCACATAGTGTGTGGTAGTAAACTTTTATCAGTAACCAGAATGTTTAGGGAATGAAGTGTTTTGATTAACTGAGTTATCTTAAAATTTTTTAATTGATAATTTTTGTATTTATAACACCTACATCTGCCAGCATAATATTCCTCTCTTCTGCTCCTAGAGAGACATTCCTTATAACAGAATAAACAAGAAAAAAAAACCGTTCAGTGAAACTAACCAATATCAATCAAGTATAGTATTAAATGTAGGGTTCATATCCATAGTCTCCCACTCCCATTCTCGTATATATACTTTGGGGACAAAATTGGGTGGTATATGAATTATTTTTTAAATGAAGGTTTTTCTGTAAAACGGTTTAAGGCCTCAGACCAAACACTTGACACTAGTTGAGTGACCCTGTGTTAACCCCAATTGCCTAAAATTAGAAAATAAAAAAGTATATGAAACAAAAAGGTCTGAGGCCGGATTTGAACTTAGGTCCTCCTGACTTTAGGGCTGGTGCTCCATCCACTGTGCCACCTGGCTGCCACTGTTTCATATATTTTTGTTCACTACTTTTCCCCCTGAAATGTATTAGGTCACTTTCCTGCCTTGGTAAGTAGGGCACACTCAAAAACACATATTCCATACTACACCAAGTCATAGAGTCAATGCCACATTGACATAATGGACCAGGTGCCAGGATGATTTGGGGTTAAATTTTTCTTTGACCCTGTTCAAGGCCTTTCACACCTATGCGCCTCAAGTGACAACTACCTATGTCATAACTGCTAAATCCTGTTGAGAACTGGGTCTATGTTAGAGAATGGAGTTCCTAAATTGGGATATCCCTATGTAATGACAAATACTTTTACTAATTAACTTTTTAATTATCCAGGGTTCAGTATTCCAAGCATCTATTATTATTGCTTAACACTGAGGACTGAATGTATGGATCATAATGAATACATTGAATTGATCAGAGCACATTCTCCTTCCTTTTCTTAGTTAATTGAGGTTTTAATGTAACATACTATATACACTATGGCTCCTTTGAGAAAAATTGCAAGTGGGCTGATTATCCCTGCCTAAGTGTAAGTGTGAAGAGATATTTAGGACTTCAAAGCCATTAGAACGTTGGTTCTGCCTTTAAGTAAGTTAGATAAAAAAACACTTCTGTATGTTTGGAGAGAAAATCTGATGTTATTCTCTATTCCTTTAAGGTATCAGAACTTGAAAGCTTCACAAATGGGTTTCTTGCTTATTTGAAATGAAGGTGGCTTCTGATCTGTATCATTATTACACATGTTTCTGATGTCATTAGTTTCTAATGTGTATTATGATTTTAATTACTTTGGATTGACCTTCATAATTTTAATATATTTAGATATACAGGACTGATTGACCCAGTTGCATATAGCCACTGCTGGGGTCCCTGAACCAGATACCATATACACACATAAATGTGTTTCCATGTGTATGTAACATATATGCATAGTATGTGTATCATATGCATATTAAATATAAAGCAATGCATATGTATACATGTCTGTACACAGATGTACCTAGAAGATTAGTTTTTGAAGTGACCTTTGAGATCAGCTAGTCCAATTCCTTCATTTTACAGATGAAGAATCCGAGCCAAAGAGAAAGGAAATGATGTCCTGGATTTAGCAAATGTCAAAGCTGAGATTGAAACCCATGTTCTCTCAAGAGTGCTTTTCTTACTACATGCATATCTCATAGATACATTACATATATGTGCAATACATACTGTGTACATATATGTATATGCATGTATATATCTCATTCACATACCATAGGATCATAAATCTAGAGGTGGAAGGGGCATTGGAGGTCATTGAGTCCAATTACCTCATTTTATAGAAGAGGAAATTTAGTGTGGGAAAGGTTATTGGCTTGCCCAGTCTCATACATTTAGTAAAAGTCTGAAGCAGGATTTGAATTTACATCTTCCTAACTTCAAGTCCAGTGTTTTATCTACCATGCCACCTAGCTGAATCTCTCTCCCCTGAGATGTACATATATACACAAGGGGATATATGCATGCACATATATGTACACATGTATGAATAATAATAAATGAATAATAAAGATAAATAATCATGACATATGTGGCATATGTCTGAGAAGATTCAATAAATATATCACCTTCAGATATGTATTTCAACTAATTCTCATATTGCTGGAGACAAGAAACAAAATATGACTAAGAAATAGCAACAATGTTCAACATGTCTTATAGTCTTTATTAGTTCTCTGAAGAAGTCATTTACATTTTGGAACTCAATGCCTTTGGAGACCTTTATATGTGAGAGATGGTGAATTTGTGTTTTTAGTTGGTAGAATTCATATAGAGTCCTGTTTTTTTGTGGTAATTATGCTAACAGGAATACATGCCTTCAAACATGATAGATGTGCTTCTATACATAAAACACAGTGCCATTTGATCCAGTCAGAGTTTACTTTAGACAGTTCAAAAGTATATTTACAATCATTGGATTTAGAGCTGGAAGGAAACATAGCCTTTATTTAATCTAATAGTTAGGGAAACTAAGGCCCAGAGAAGGTTACACAAGGTGATAAGGAGATCCTCTGACCCTCAGTTCAGTGTCAGTCAGTTATTCATGAACACCAATGAAAGGCTCAGCAAGTTCTGCAGATGGCTGCTATACAAAAAGAGCTTGCCATCTACTTGGTTAGGGAAGATATACATATATGAAAGAGTAAATAAGATTGTGTATCTGTCACAGACATACCTCTATGACTCTAGGTCTTTCTTGTTCCCTTTGTGAGTCACAGTGTCTCCATTTGTAAATAATGACTGACATTAATGCCTTTGCCCACCTTTACTGAGGTCAGCTACTTGAACTATTAATTGTGGTTCAGAACTTCCAAAATACTACCTTTACTCTGACCAGTGCAGAAGTGGGGCACTTGGAATTTCCCACTCTTGCTGCCATTAGGGCTGCAATAGAGAAAAATGTGTTTTGATCATATAGAGCTGGAATCCAGAAAGAACAACTCAGTGGAAGTAGTGCAGTACTTGAAGCCAGAGGGGCCAGGCTTAATTTCTAGATTTGCCATTTTCTGCCTGTGTGAAATCGTGCAAATTAAAAATTCTCTAGGCTCAGTTTCCTCATTTGTTAAATGATGGGGTTGGGTTAGATGACTTTTAGTCTCTTCCAGTTCTGAGTCTGTGATCCAGTGAAGAAATAGTGATCTAAAAGTTGCTTAGGTTCCTTGTTGCTATAAACAGGACTATCCAGTTACATACTTCTGTGAACCTGCCATTTTAAATGTGGTCACACCCTTCACCCATGAACAGTGCAAACCAGGCACACCTTCTCATCCCATCACCCGTTATTATTCAGGTTCTTACACAAATCCTTCATAGAGGATGTGATTATTTTTCCAACAAACTTCCTCCATGTCTCTGACAATTTCATGGACATCAATGCAGGACGTAAGCTATTCGTTGGTTATTCTTCACTGTTCCTGCATGACTAATCCACTTCATATTCTGGTCATTCGAATCTCTGATCATATCTTTTACCTGACTTTTTGTGTTCAAGTCATCTTTGGTAATATACTACAATTTATTTATACCTACTATGTCTCTAGCCATTGTCATTCTGTTGGGGATGGATATACACACACACATACACAAAAATTTATATCTGTATATAAATATATACCTGTATATATATGTAAACATACATATATACATACATATACATACATACACACACATACACGTACACACACACATATATATATACAGTCACACAAAAGTCAACAAGCATTTATTTAATGCCTACTTTGTGCCAGGCAAAAAATGAAATGATACTTACTTTTAAGCAGTTTATTCAGTTACACTCTATATTAAATAGGCTTTTGGGGGATGGCTTGGGAACCTAGCTACCATTTATAACATTATTTCTATAGAAAAATGTGACCTGACTTTCAAATCACTTGAATGGAACAAAACTCCTTTGTAAATTGGGGTGACTCATTTCTGTTAGCCATAGATGCATTTCTTTGCTTTCAAAAGTATAACATGTGCTTTACTTCTAGTAGTGTATTTTTCAGTTAGTTAAAAATATGAGATATTTAAAAGCATGACATTGTAATATTGGCAGGGCCATAGAGAGGGCAGAATTAAAAACTGAAAAGAAAAACCATGCCACTAATTTTTAAAACAAATCTCTTTTCTGTATCTTAGGTATAAGAATGATAGTTTGATTTGCCAAGCAGGTGAACCAGGAAAGTATAGGATTGAAAGCAGCTATGGAGTGCATACGCTGGAGATAAATAGGTAAGATATTCATATGAACAGCATATATATATATACATACATATTTACTGCCTAGCATTGGATAATTAACAGAAGTTGAAGGGAAGAAATAGAGGAAATATCAGAGCCCAAATATCAGGGAGTGTTGTCCTGTACTTTTAAATGTGTTTAGTAGTAACTTTCATTGGTGCTAGCAGGTCCTCTTTGAACATTCTGGGTGTGAGGCCAGAGGAATGTACAATGGGCAGCTGTGTCATGACACCATTCTGTGAACAAAAGGTTTGAATAGTTTAAGTGGAGATAATAACATTGCAATGTAAAAACCACAATGGATTCCAACTAGAGTTAATTTGTTTAGTCCTGAAACTGTAGCTGACTCCCATGCCCCAGGAAGAGTTCTGAAAAATTCTAAGTGCAGAAAAGATTTATTCAGATTTCTTAGACCAAGGAGCTTTAACAGTTGTATTTTAAAAATTAATTTTTTCTTAAAATATACTGTAATCAAAGTGTCCAAGATTAAGAATCAGAAACCCATGGTTCTACTCTTGGTGTTCTGGCATTTAATAGGTGTCTGTGCTTGGGTTTTTCTTATTTCCAGTTTATTTTGTACATGGGATAAATGTTCATGACTGTTCATTGGATGTCTTCCCCATTGGATTGTGAGCTTCTTGAGGGCAAGGATGTCTTTTTTGTCTTTTTGAATCCCCAAAACTTAACAAAGTGTCTGATATATAGTAGACACTTAATAAATGTTTATTGATTGACTTAGTCCCACTAAAATGGGCATAATAATGTGAAGTGGGGATAATAATCCCTGTTTTGCCTTTCTTAGGGGGTAGTTGTTAGAATCATTTGACAAGGAGATATGTAAAAACAGGTTGAAAATTGTAATGCATTAAATGTTTTGTAAACCTTAATATGCTATATAAATTCTAGCTGCTATTATTATTACCATCATTATATCTATCTGTCTTTATCTATCTATCTATCATCTATCTCTATGCACAAACATACATATACAAATAAGGTTTCACTGTAAGTCATCTGAAAACTGTTGTAAAAATAATTGGATTACAGTGAGGCTCATTGAATATTTGTTTTTTTTTTTCTTATTTGATATTTTATTTTTTGCCAATTACATGTAAAAACCAATTTTAACTTTTTTTTTAACAAATTTTGAGTGCCAAATACCCATGTAGGAATATAAACAATTTAACTTTATTGAATCCCTTATGATTTCTCTTTCTTATTTACCTTTTTATGTTTCTCTTGAAGCATATTTGTATTTGAAAGTCAAATTTTCTCTTCAGCTTTGATCTTTTCATCAGGAATGCCTGAAAGTCCTCTATTTCATTGAACAACCATTTTTTCCCTCTGAAGGATTATACTCAGTTTTGCTGGGTAGGTGATTTTTGGTTGTAATCCTAGTTCTTTGTCCTCTGGAATATCCTCTTCTAAACCCTCCAATCCTTTAATGCAGAAGCTGCTAAATCTTGTGTTATCCTGACTGTAGCTCTATGATATTTGAATTTTTTTTTGGCTGCTTGCATGATCTCCTTGATCTGGGAAGTCTGGAATTTCACCATAATATTCTTGGAAGTTTTCATTTTGGGATCTCTTTCAGGAGTTGATTGGTGATTCTTTCAATTTCTATTTCACTCTCTGGTTCTAAAATAGCTGTGCAATTTTCTTTGATAATTTCTTGAAAGATAATTTCTAGGCTTTTCTTTTGATCATAATTTTCAGGTAGTCCAATAATTCTTAAATTATCTTTCCTAGATCTATGGTCAGTTGTTTTTCCAATTTGATAGCTAACATTTTCTTCTATTTTTTAATTTCTTTGATTTTATTTTATTGTTTCTTGATATCTCATAAAGTCATTAGTTTCCACTCAACCAATTCTAACTTTTAAAGAATTATTTTATTCAGTGAGCTTTTGTACCTCTTTTTCCATCTGGCCAATTCTACTTTCTTCTCTTCAGTGAATTTTTGTATATCTTTTTTTCCATTTGGTCAATTCTGCTTTTCAAGACTTTCTTCTTTTCTTTTTTTGTACCTCTTTTACCTTTTGGTCTATTCTGTTTTTTAAAGTGTTATTTTCTTCAGCATTTTTTTGTACCTCCTTTACCAAGCTGTTGACTCTTTTTTCATGATTTTCTTACATCACTCTCATTTCTCTTCCCAATTTTTCCTCTACCTCTCTTACTTGATTTTTAAAATCCTTTTTGAACTCTTCTATGGCTTGAGACCAATTTGTGTTTTTCTTGGAGGCTTTGGATGCAAAAATTTTGACTTTGTTGTCTTCTTCTCAGTGTGTTTTTTGATCTTCCTTGTCACCATAGTAACTTTCCATGGTCAGAATTTTTTCTGTTGTTTACCCATTTTCTAACCTTTTTCTTGACTTTTAACTCTAGGCTAATGTGGGGCTCTGTTTCCCAAATGAAGGAGCCACTGTCCCAAGCTTCAGGTTTTTTGTGCATCTATTTTCAGAGGTAACTCTGTGGACCTGTAAGTTTTTTGCTCTTTGAAGGTGGTATGATCTAGGGAAAGGTGAGTTTATTACTCTACTGTACTGTGCACTGGTTTGTAAGCAACCACAAACAATCTTTTCAACCCTGGAACTGTGACCAGGGTCCTTGCTCCCCTGCAAACTACATGTGCTAGGGGAACTGGAACTAAGACCCAGGACTGTGACCCAGATCCAAGTATAGGCAATGCAACAGAATCCTGTCCCTGGTGCTAGCAAAGGGACTCCTGTAAATCTCCTTCTGATCCACTGTCTGATCTCCTTATCATTGCTGGGCTGAGAGATCTGGAAACTGCCATTGCTGCCACTGACTCAGTCATCCAGAAGCCTGTTTCTGGTTTGCTGGGTCTGAGTCTGTGACTGTGCTGGACTGTGCTTGTCTCTTATGCTGGTGAAACAGACATTTCCTGCCCACCTTCTAAGTTGTCATGGGCTGGAAAATTGTTTTACTCTGTCTTTTTGTGGGCTCTGTCACTTTAGAATTTGTTTGGAGTCATTATTTAAAGGTATTGGGTGTGTTTGGGGGAGGACTCCTATCTTGTCCACCTCCTCATTGAATATTTAAATATATGCATTCAATAATTCTCAGTGTTACCTTTATGAGTGTTGAATGTGAGGGAATCAAATCAGTATATCCTGAAAATTTTTTTAATCCCATAAAACATTCAGGTTCAAGATGAATTTCCCAAATGTATTAAAAAAATTTCTCTAGGATCCTAGCATTTCTTTATATTGATTCTTACCTTCAAAATTCCCTCCACCTATCCCTTTATTTAGCTCTCCTCTAATGCACCTGCCAAGTAATGTTAGCTATTGTAACAATAAATCTGTATATATATATATATATATATATATATATATATCTTATCACTCTGCTAGACTATATGCCCCATGAGGGCAAGAACAATATCAAATTCTAATTTTGTCTTTCTCAAGCATCAAGGGTAATGCCCTGGACACAGTAGGAGCTTAATGTCTGTCAAATTGAATTAAAGTTGCCAACATATGCTCTGGAGGACAGTCTATTATTCCCCTTGTTCCCTCCTCCTTACTCCCCTGACACTTTATTTCCCTTATTCTCCTACCATCTTTCTATTTTTTTCCTACATTTTTCTGTCTCATTCATTTCCCTTCCTAAATTCTCCATTGTAACCTGAGAATCAGCCAACCCTGCAGGAAACCTTTTGTTCCCACCACTTAGATAGATCTCAAAAGAATATTTGCCTGTAGGGAATAGGTATAGTTGAAAAGAAAAACAAAAACAATGCATCTAGTGTCAGAATCTGAGTGTAAATCCATCCTCTTGTAATTAACAATCTGTGTGATCAATCATGGTTGTTACTTTGCTCTCTAGGTCTCAGAGGGTTTTTGAATATAATGATCCTCAAGTTTCCTTCTAACCCTGAATACTATGAGAAAATACCAGGCACAGGTGCAAGGAATCCAGTTAAATATGCCTTTTTATTTCACTCACACCCTTTTTTCAGTATTGTGTATGAGCTGCTGTCCAGCAGTTATGGGTTCAAATAGACATTGGGGGCAGGAGAGAAAACACTCTTCTCATTGCGGTAAACTAAAAAGGGTACCCAGGGCCTGTCTTTTATATCTGTTGACCAGTGATTCCATTGCTCTATGAAATCTATTAACTTTGACTAGAGAAGATGAATCCTAGGATGAAACCTAGGTTGAAAATATCCCCACATGATGCATTTCTTTTTAGAATTATACGCAGCCAAACATAATGTTCCTTTTTTTATGAAAGTAGTAAAAAAAAAAAAAGTGCTTCCTTTTACCCTAAACAATATGGTGCAATGGAAAGAGTGCTGTACTTAGAATGAGAAAACCTGTGTTCAAATCCTGCTTCTGACTCTTACTACCTATATGACTTTGAGTAAGTCACTCTTCAGCCTGTTTCCTTGCCACCAGCAGAACTGACCATCATTTTTTTCAGTTCAAAAATTTAATAGTATTTCTAACACACAAATATAATCAAACAATCTACAGAGAGAATTTCTTATGAAACATTAAAATTTGAGGTCTCTATTTTTTATTTAAAATAAAATAAAATGATTTTTTTTACAAAATAGTAAAAATATCAATGTCTGTTCCATGCTCACTTATGAATTTTCTATGTGAAATTGGTTAATATTATATTATGGATAAAATTATTCAGTTTTCTGACATACTTTAAAATGTATGTAGCTAGCAAGAAACTTCCATCTGATATTAGATTTGATGGCTAAACAGATATTTAATTGAAGAAATCTGAAAGGCTACTGGAAACTCTCCAAAGCAACTTTGTGCTCTGTGTTCTTTCCTCAAGATTAATAAACATTTTGCAGTTTTGAGTAGATGAAATGATAATACTTTTTAGAAATACAATCACTGTGAGTATCACTAATTCTTGGGCTCCTCTCAGCTGTTCATACCAAACTGCTGAGCCGCAGTCTATCTGATCTGTGGCCATTTTGCATGACTTGGAATGTGTTGGCTC